CACCTCTTCTCACTGACTCGGATCAGGAACGTTCCGTTCGGCTTGCAGCTTACCAGTTCCTGCACAGGTTCCAGGCAACACAGTCACATCACAGGTGTTCGGCTAGTGATACAGTTGCTATGCTAGGATTAGAATCACTTTTCCAGTAGGTAGGATAGTTGGTTGGGATAGTGATAAGTCTGATCTCTTGTGTGATCCCCTCCCCACGAACTATGCTTCACTAGCACCCTGGCACTATTTCACATAGGAGATAACCATCAGATCTAAGCAGCATGTGGCTTGCAGCTGTGTCAGTACAGTCGATCCTTTTAGAATACACGGGTAGTCTCTTTGTGCCAGCCACTGCAGTACATGTGTTTGCTATCGTCTGCCCAGTGACGAAACTCACCTCTGCTCGGGCGCGGGGAATTAACCCGTGGAACCACGCAGAGAACATGACGCCCCACTTGCTCTCGAACTGTCCAGAGTGCCGTGCAAGCTCCTTACGCCTCCATTCCACCAGCCTGGTGTGACATGACACAAACAGTTACATGCATGTCAATCAAGGTAAGCTTCTCCATCAAGGCTGACTGTTGTGTGCCGGAATACAACCTGACTACCTGCATGTACATGTACAAGTACATAGGAAATGTGTGGCATCGTTGGGTCGAAAGAATGTTCTTCCATGGAAGTACACAGGCTCTGCCGTGACCACTTCATCCATCCAATTCTAATTACTCAAAGTTCGTGACGTCGACTGTACTCACAATAATGATCATACTAGTGATGGGCTAATGGCTACACCATGGCTTACATGTAGAGCATTGCTGGCCACAAGGAGGGACCCTGGCCCAAGGCCTGGCGGTAACAGTCAATTTCTTTGTTAAGACATTTTCCCATTTCAACTACCTCAAATTTAGAAAGGAATTATCAAAATTTGAGTGCTTCTCCCCTGGAGCTGCCATCAAGGCAGTATTGTCATTATTATGGTCATTGCATGCATCATTGTACTTTTGCAGGCATTGATCAAATCGAGATTTTCAGCTGCAAATGTGCATAGGAAATTCAAGAAAACCACCCTAAATACAAAAGTAAAAAAAGAGCTTAGGAATGGATATAAGTAATGATAACCCCATTGTCCCCTGGTCTTGGACACCAGTGCTCGTGCCCAAAACATACACTTCAGTAGCTGGGGACTCTTGCTTGGGTCGGAAGAAGCTGCTTGTCCGCCGCTTGAGTTCATGTGGCTTGCTAGTGACAGAGTGACTGGGTGAGTCGTGCCGCGATGGCGTTGCGCACTCGACCGGCTCGCTAGTAACGAGTGCATTATTGGTCGGCTCGAATCGGGGCGCATGCGCTTGGTGCGCTGGTGGCGGTGGTGGTGGCAGCGTCGGTGGGTCTCTTGGCTGTTTCTTGAAGCTTGGCCATCGTCGCTTGTTGACATGCCGTGTATCGTCCCATGCCAGCACAGATGATGTGTGCTTGGTAGCTTGCTTATCCTGAAAGAAGAACATTTGAGGCCGATATCATAAGGGAAACAGTGAGCCGCTACTGAAGGGCATGATTGGCACGTGCAAGTGTATTTATGTCTACTGATTTCTGTACTTGTGTGTGTGTGTGTGTGTGTGTGTGTGTGTGTGTGTGTGTGTGTGTGTGTGTGTGTGTGTGTGTGTGTGTGTGTGTGTGTGTGTGTGTGTGTACACTGCAGGTTTCCAATACAGTTGTTTGGCTGGCAGCAACAGTGCGGCATGGTCAATGTGGCTTTCTGAGTGAATTGATGTATATAATTGTCCTTAGGTTTGCTTTGTTGATGGTTTGGTTTCGTGAACAAGATCAGCCGGAGAGCATACATGTATGTGGCGACTGCAAAATACGGTTGAAAAGCACAGGGGTGCTGATTACCATTCTTCAAATCAGGGAAATGGCTTAACGGTTCGCGTGAGACTGGGTTAGAGGCCGAGTTTTCGGCTTCATTGCAAACACCACCACCCTCAAGGATCAGAAAAAGGTTAAAAAATGAATAAAATAAAAGGGTAAACACACGAGGGTAAGCAGCGACTTTCGGCCTGTTTATCAATGAATCAGTTCTCAGCATTCAATAAAGAGACTTTAGTGGTTGAAGCAGCGCAGCACGGAGGAAATTGTATTTGCCAATACCTACGAATTTGAGTCATGTAGCTGGTGTGAATGAGGTCGGTCAGAGAGCGCATGTGGTGAAGGTGGAACTGATTCATCAAGTTAAAAAGGTAAAAACTCAAAAGTTATAACTCAATCTGCGGACAGAACTGTTTCATCCTTGGTGGACTCATCAGCGCAGCACAGAGAAAATGAGGCCGAACCTGATAGCAATGGAAAATGAATTTTCCAAAGCCAGATTTCAACAAGGCCCAAACGAACCTTGCCAGAGTGCTCGAACTGATAAGTCAGTGAGCTCTGCCTAACGCAAGCACCAAAGGCACTACCCGCACGAGAGTGCTCATCTACTACAAGAGCAGGAGTGAAAAACTCAATCTGCGTCATGATAACTGTTATGGTATAGCTACGCACCTTCTTTGTCTTCTTCCGCACCACAACCGGTGGTGCCTGTGGTACTGTGGGCAGCAGCAGCGGCTCGGACAGCTGCTGCTGAACAGCCCGATGCCGTGCCTCGTCCTCTGCGGCCAGCGCCAACAGCGTGCACAGTACAGCTGGAGAGGTCATGACAAAAATCAATCCGTGCACAGCAGATGAGCTACTCGCAGCAGTCCGGAACTGTCACGGTAAAGATGACCTGTGCACGTATATAGGAAGTTCTGCAAAACAAATTTCTGAGCTCTCATAAAAACTTGGCGAAGATGCAATGATATCACCTCACTGACAACCAAAAAACGAAGGACATCATATCTTGACATTTTGCATATTTTAATGAAAGCTCTAAAGAGTAGTTTTGTTGAGTGAAGCCTACACATGTACATGTATATTATATAAATTTTAATGTCACTAAGTCAAGTTTCGAAATCATCTAGCCATGTACTTCGAAGTAGTCACCCCACTTCCACTGATGAGGCGTCAACTGTGCTGCTTAGACACTGTTACATGTTTTTAACAGTGGACGGGCAGGTACATACTAAATACAATTACAATTACATAGCGTTTGGTGTAAAAGACGAACACAATCGCCGTACGTGCAACTTCTCTCTAGTGATCCCTGGAGCGGAGCCAATGACGTATCTACCCGGGTCATGATCCTCTGGTAAAGGAGCATATGATCAAAGTATGTATCCCTGACCAGCAGAAAAGAGAATAGACTAGGAATGGCGGTAACCGAGATACAGTACTAATGTACCACACCGTGCTACGCATTATTCTTTTCTCTTGCCTTTCAGCAGTTAAGTTGCAGTGTGGCGGATGATGGAAAAATATGTACAGGGCCAAACGCTGCTGCTTATGCTTTATTTCAGCAGTCAAGTTGATTCCGTGAACAAAACACCTCACTTAAAGGGGAAGTTAAGGCAAAAATTAAAATTTCACCAGTTGTAGTCTTCGGGGTGCTGAGTCGAATGGTCTTGGTCCGAGAAAGCTGAGACGCTCCCTTCCTACTTGAATCCCAATCGAACTCGCGCACTTCCACCGAAACTGGGTGACTGCGCCCTACGAGATGGGGATTTGTATGCAAAATGTCACTAAAAGCGCCATTTCGTTCTTATAAAAGCACGGATGACCGCCATTGGCCCATATGTTGTACTCTTTTGGACGCCGAGTCGACTGGTTTTGGTCCGAAAAGGCTGCGATGCAGCGTTCCTCCTTTATTCCCAATCGAACATGGTTGAAGAAGCGGTCACGTGCTCCTGGGTGCCAAAATCACCTGGTCACCACGCCAGCAGGCGACAACTTTCACACCAAGGTTCACCTCGAGTGACAGGACTGCACCCAAAAAAGGTCAAAACAGGCTGTAAGTTGTACCCTGCAGGCACGGTGACCAGGTGACTGGTGTACGCAAGAGCACGTGACCGCTTGTTCGACCATGTTCGATTGGGAATTAGGGGCGAACGCTGCATCGCAGCCTTTTCGGACCAAAACCAGTCGACTCAGCGACCAAAAGACTATAACATATGGGCCAATCGCGGTCATCCGTGCTTTTATAAGAACGAAATGGCCCTTTTAGTGACATTTTGCATACAAATCCCCATCTAGTAGGGCGCAGTCACCCAGTTTCGGTGGAAGTGCGTGAGTTCGATTGGGATTCAAGTAGGAAGGGAGCGTCTCAGCTTTCTCGGACCAAGACCATTCGACTCAGCACCCCGAAGACTACAACTGGTGAAATTTTAATTTTTGCCTTAACTTCCCCTTTAAGCTAACCGGGTAGTCCTGGATCTGCGCTTGCCCTATGTTCCAAATGTGCGCATGGCCAGCAATCAAGGACATCTGAGAGTTGTAATTTTTGTACTCCTCCGAGGTGTGATTTTTGGCGTGCTGGGCCAAGCACAAGGAAGCCATCTGCAAAAAAACTGCAGAAAATGGTTGTTGTTTGATCCTTTGGTGTAATCTTTGTTTCTAGTCGAAGCTAGTTGCTGTTTGGAGCAGAAACGCTGAAATTGACTATTTTCTGCATGTACTCATACATGTACTCATGTACTCAGGCATGCAGTCTCACTCGTATTTTAGCTATTTTTCTGGAATGGATGCTGCTCTGCGCCCCTTGGTGAACATTTCCTGCGCTCGTGGAGCAGCTGAAAAGGACCACTGGTATGTCTGGTTCCTGGTTTGAAAGTGGAGAGTCGACTTTTGTGCCTTGAAAAAGGAGTAGAGAGCGATAAAGGTACGTCTGTGGCTGATTTTTGAGTGCTCGTACATTTTTGATCGTGATAGAAATTCTCAGACCAAAGTCAGACCAAAGTCAGCGCGATGATGGTCGTACAGTTTTCTTGTGAATTTTTTAGTTGTTTCATCTCGTATCTATGTCAGTATTGTGATGGTGAAGTGGAGAGGGTGATTTTCTTCCTCTAGGCTTCGTTCGGCCGACTTTGCTTCGTCCTCGTTGAAAAGTGATCCTGAAAAAAAGGTCGATTCGCAAAATTATGTTGATTTTCAATGTACGAGATGACATGCGATTGCTGGCTATGTAACTTAGTTACTTGTTTGATGAGAGCAAGCCAGCTATAATAGGATATAGGACATCACAAGTCCAGTACAAGCGCTTTTAAAACGGTGCTAGATAAACGTTGATCACTACCCCCCCCCCCCCCCCCAACCCCAGCCCAGTTTACTGGTGAACTGAGTTCCTATAACTTTGGTGTTTGGCAGCGTGATTCACATTCCGTATACCGCTTTAATATCACTCACATTCGGACGTTGCAAGAATTGAATTGCAGAAATCACGTACTTCGCGTCGCTCCCGACTTGCTTCCAAACGGAGGTATTGAAGCCTAAACAAGGGAGAGAGAGAGAAAGAGAGAGAGAGAGACAGAGAGACAGATAGATAGATAGATAGATAGATAGATAGACAGACAGATAGATAGATAGATAGATAGATAGATAGATAGATAGATAGATAGATAGATAGATAGATAGATAGATAGATAGATAGATAGATAGATAGATAGATAGATAGATAGATAGAGAGACAGACAGACAGACACACATTTATGGGATATGCACAGTAAGCGATTTGCTGCACAATGTCATTTTAGCAGTTGAAAGTAATTAATTTTCACTATTGAAGACCTGTACATGAGCATCATCAATGTCAATATAGCTGGCATTCTAAGGAAGTGCAACATGTGCCCATGCACATTATGTCTAGGGCAGGGGACTAGGAAGGGTGATAAACATCCCCTAGATATGATACTAGAAGATTAGTGCAAGGGGTGGTGATGGTCGTCGTTATCGCCGTCGTCGGGGTGTGTGTGGTGGCAGTCCAGGTGGTGTACATCAAACCATTGGCCTTATGCAGATCTATGTGATCGGTGACTAGCGTTGCCCGATGACTGACCAAGTGCTATGGAACTCCGAGCAACAACCAATTTATGTTTACCACCATAGTCAACTTGTTAGTGATCACTAAAATCGGTAATACGTGGAGGGTGGGGGAGCTGATCGCAGCATTAGTGCATTGTTGACAGCTTACTTTCTCTGTGCTAGAACCTTTCTCCAGTTGGCCTGCAGAACGATGGCCCACTGGTTTTGGTCAGTCAAACACTTCAGCAGGTGGTCCTCATGGTAGTACTTAAGGAACACTCGGGTTTTACCCAGGTGCCATGATGTCAGACCGGCGCCATTCAGAATGGCAAAGCAAGACTTCAAGCTCGGAGCAACCTGCGATATACAAAGGGAACATTGTGTGGCAAAAGAGAACAGCTCGAGTACCGGTCAATACCATAATAATATACATGAGAGGCAATCCAATTCTTTACCGCTCTCTAGTTTTCAGCTCTGCATACAGTGAATCCCCATCAGTGTCATGTCACACGGCAGAAAATGCCCATGTGGCTAAAAAGTAAAAACTCTCGTGATCAAGCTGACTTAGAAATGCAGCCAATACAGGCCTGTTTAAAATTCCGATGCTCGGGTTATATCCACCTGAACCTCTCACCTTGTCAGTGTAGGGAAACGCAATTCCTTGGTATGCACGGAGAAACTCGGCGAATGTCGGACGATAAGAGTACCCTTCCCTTCGAATCCGAACGGTCTCGACAAGACCAGTTTGTCTGGGAGGGAGTGTAGGCAAAACAGCAGAATGTCTTCGATTGGAGCGTCTTGGCACTTTTCATGCCAGCAGGATATGGCAAAGGAGAACCACCTAGAGTTATGTCCTACACTAGCAGTGGAGCAGTCAAATTGTCTTCAAACCGGACCCACAGGGATAGTTTAATCATAAATATGTTACCTGATTTGACGTGCGACATAGTTGCTATCAAAGCAGCTGGGTTTCTTGCCAAGGTTAGGCCTGATGCACCTGACCAAGCAAACACGAAAAGATGCACAAAGACCAAAAAAATAGTCACATGCCTCCTTCAAAACACTAGATGACAAGTAACTCATTCCGGGGTAACTGGGGATAAGATGTTTAGTGGAACAATATCGCACGTTTACCTGATGAAGACGGGCTCAGCTGCCATTAACGTGGCACTGAGCTGGCGAAGCGAGAGTCGAAATTGGGTGCCGACCGTGACCTTGTTCTTCCGCGTGGACTGCTTTCGCATGACGGAGTTGGACGGTCTTCGATGCACCTGGTAACTTTGCTTGCGAAACGATGACCTGAAACGATGCTGCGCTGGCTGCGTTGGGGCTTGCTTTGTCCGACTTGCCCTATAATGGCAGAAATTGGAAGAAGTCATGAGCAAAGACATATAACTCCTAGTTCTCCTAATGTTGGAGGGAAATGCTAAAGCTCTAAATGGAGAGAACCACATTCGACGCAGCATCATGTGGCGCAATACCCCCAAGCAGTCGGTTGTTACGTGAGCATGAAAGTAGAAAAGCTAGCAGATGCAAGTATTTCCTCCAGAAACAAGAATAATTCGCAACTTTGATTGACCTGTTAGTTCTGGTGATTTGAGCTCTGGGGGAATCGAGCGATGGTAACCCCGAGCGAGACTCAAATAGTGCGTATATCAATTGTTCAATGGTGTACATGCTTGAAAGAAGTACATCCACTCACATTCTTGATGTGTTCTTGAACTTTTCGTTCCACTGCCAAAATTCTTGAATACGGTATTACATAAACTCCTCAGAAAGTGAATTAAATGTCACGACGGTTTGGTTTCAGGAGGACGTTTCGGAAATGGATTAGTGTACAGAGTTTATCATTATTTGCTATGGAGGACTCACTTCTTGGCGGTATTCTCCTGCTGTGCTGCCTCGCCATTCAAGAACAAGGTGCGGAGCTGCGGTAAAAAGCACAAGCAAGGTGTATGACTTCCGCCGTGAGATTTTAAGACATCCAAATTTCCTGCAGTGGTTCACAGTGAATGAGACTCACCAGACCAAACAAGACTCACCAGACCAAACGAGACTCACCAGACCAAAGCGGCTGTTGCAGAAGAGATCGATGATATCCTGCGCCAGGGTGTCCCGGTTCTTCTCCAGGAACCCTCTCACATTATACGTGACCTGCAGGTACACGGCAAGCATAGTGAACCAACAGAAATTGACCGGCTCACGTTTACATGCACAATACATATGAAACACGCCAGGTGCAGGAAGAACCATGTTACATGTTTGATGTGGAAAGGTCATTGATATTGCATATGGCATCACTATTTCCAAAAAGGTGACCAAAGAGTACATGTATAGACTCGGATGGAGAGCCAAGGATTAATTTATAGGTGGTATTAGTGGACTCGGTCACATCTGCAGACTGGACAAGGAGTCCCCAGCACAAATGGCTATGACATCATACTTCCGGCAAACAAAGGAGGAGAAAAAATTCCGTGGCCGGCCGCCTTCCACACTCCCGACAATACTGAGAACGGACCTCGCAACAAAGGGAATGAAGCTGCAGACGGATAAAGATCTCTCACACATCAGGGACCTGGCAGAGGACAGAGCAGTATGGCGGCAGCTTTTCCGCACCTGAGCCTGCAGAGGAATGCCCAGATTTGCCCAAACGGAACATGACATGATGTATGGTGAATTCAATGGACAATCTGATATATTTCTTCAATATCCTTTGCCTCCTGTTTCTTTTTTCCTGCCTTCGACCCCGCTGCTCTGTGACCCTTCCCTCGCTTTCTCTTGTCCTTATTGTCTTTTGACTTGTTGAGCGGCCTGAGCGAATGCTAGGGGTGGATGTGTATTATGTCGATTTGTTGATTTTTGTAGTAACACACCCTGATGCAAACGCGGAGAGGCAAATAATAATAATAATAATAATTAGTGGACAGTATAGCGTGACTTGCAGTTCCTTGGTCCTCGGTCTTTTTTGTTCTTCTAGAAAGAGTACATGATAGTACAGTTCTGGCAACTGAAATCTGACCCCCTGAGCGGTGGGTTCACATTCTTTGCGATGTGAGCGCACCGCTCAGGGGGTCGGATTTCAGTTGCCAGCACTGTAGTAATATTTATACTGAAACTCGCCCAAAGGGTGCATGGTACACCAAAGTGCCCGTAACTTTGGTGTCCGGGTAGCCGAGGCGTGAGCGTATGCTCAACCCCCTGATAAGCATTGTAGGGGTCGAGTTCTTACCTTGCCAGCAAAATGGTTGATACAGAACTCAGATGTGCCCATGGATAGAGTAAATCTCCGATGAGTAGAGAATCGCTCTGAGAAGCGTTCCAAACAGATTTTATCTGTGGCCTATTCAGAATCACCAGGAGAACAATAGTCATCGTACAACCAACATGGCGATACTCTTCGCGTTGTGACCATTGCCCATAGACAGAGAGATATAGACATTTAGGTTTTTTTCAACTTTTTTGCCAACCCAGCATTGTGAGCTGGTGCACCACACCTGCACAGGTGATGCATTCTGATGCAAATTAACCGGCAACAACCCCAATCACACCCCACCAAGCAAGACTCTGAGCATGCCCCTGCCCCAACAACTTGTGGGTTGTGTCGGTGTATGCCATTGCCACAAAACGTGTCGGTGTGTCTGTTTCATAGTTAAATGAAAACGTAAATTATCACCCTTTGTTTACACTATGCTCTTTGCTTCCGTGAGCGTAGACATGCTGTTCACTCTTTGCTGGAGAAAAATCTCATTCCACACAGGAATGCATGAACTATTTATGAGGACCTTCATTCATGGTTTGTTCACCCAACAACCAGACCACAAGCAGTTCATTGCACTTTTACTTTTTACCGCCGACCAACACCCCACACATCCACCTGGGGATGGCTGTATAGGGTGTCGAACAGTGCATTGCTGATCCCAGTTTACTTTCACACATTATTCATACATTCTTCATTTGGCAATGAGCAGCAGGCTTATAGTAGTGCATGTCTACCTTTGGGAACACACTCTGCTCATCCAGGACTGCAAGTAGACTGATGGGCTTTGCGGCAATGAGTGCAATCACATCGCTGTTGTCTTCAAACGTCACGTCCACGGCTTGGAGACCTTCCTTGATCATCTCTGCCTGTGACCAGCGGTGTACACAGATTGCAGTGGCACAAAGCAACTTACGAACACAGGAATTTCTGTACACAACACCCCGCATGCTCATATCACACATGCACGCGACTAGGCGAAGACAGTCTGGGGAATGTCATCACACAGGAAAACAAATCAAGGGCTCACCTTCTCCAACTCGAACACTTTCTTGTTGAACAGTGATTGCAGCTGCTCGTTCGCAAGGTTGATGCATAGCTGCTCAAAGCTGTTTGTCTCGCAGTTTTCAAAGCCGAACAAGTCCAGGATACCTTCATACATCATTAGGCATAACACACACATGTACACACACATGCGCACGCACACATATAGCTCAGTGGTTAGAGCATCGTTGGCTACAAGCGAGGGTCCCTGGTTCGAGTCCTGGTGGTGACAGTCAATTTTTTCTTCAGACTTTTCCTGTTTGTCTCTTTCCCTCAAACCAGTAAATACACATATACAAACACACACACAAACACACACACACACACACACACACACATACACATATACACATATACTTGGTCCGCGTCAGCAATATTGTCGCTTATCTTTCAACAATTTGAACTTATACTTTGGACATGAACGCGTGCACTTGAAGTGATAAAACTTGGTACAATGGACGGTAAGGTATTGAATGACAACTAGCTGCGAGGAATTTATTGTCCAAGGAAGGGTTCCTACTTTTTTCGGTCCTCCTCGTCGCTGCTGTCGGCGCTGGTGACAAATATTTTTGCTCGGGATCGACTCTCTTGCTTTTGCAAGCTCATCTTTCTTCCTCTCCGCTGCCTGGCTATTTTCTAAAGAGAAGTCGACCGCGACGGTCACCTTCTTTATTGGACTTTGCGTGGGCAGCACGACTGCCTGTGCCATTTTTGGGCTCCGCTTGTTTTCAGTAAATCTGGCAGTTTTTGCCCCTCGGGGGCTGGCTTAGCACGATGGACACAAGTGTATGTGGTGATATCATAGTGGAAGATCAGTTTGGTGTTCCAGACCCCGTGAGGAAAGATTCTGTCCGTCAGTCTTGCTCAACATGTGAAAGCCATTTTTTAAAAATCCTCGAAGTAATGGAAATGGAACGTAGTCTTGCTGCCGATCGAGAGAAAAGATTAAATAGTAAAATCGACGACCTCACCCGTTTAGTTTCCTCCCTGAAGGAGGTAGTTATGGAATCTGGATCACCAACGTATTCAATGGCGGCAGCGAAGGCAGTCGGCCATGACGAGACAATGAGCAAGGGAAAGCCACGCCGCGCACGGAGCAGTTTCAAAGCTGGTGAACAAGTTCAAGCTGAGTCTGCAAAGTCCGTACGATCTACGAATGCGCCAACATCTCAAGACAGCCGTGCTCAACCGGATCTGGAAGCTTCAGCAGCCACCTCCACGTGCGAGGACGTTGACTCGGTTCATGAACCCCGTAGACGGTCTACGCAGAGATCGGACCTTGGCCTTGATGACCCAGGAGCACGTGCAGAGGGACATTTGAAATCAAGTGCTGCACAGAAGATCGTCGATCGCCTCAAAAAAATTGAGGATATGCAGGACGATGTCGAAGCTTCCTGGAGGCTGGTCACGAATACTAAGCCCACGCAGAAAAAGTCAGTTTTCTTCGTTGGGAACCTGCTCCCCGAGATGCAGAGCGAGCAGTTGAAACTGTTTATTGAACGCAGAGCTGCAGACATCGACCACCCTGTCTGTTTTTTGAGGTGAAGATCTTCCCTAAAGAATCCTCATCATCGGTGGTTCAAATCAGACGCCGTTCTTTGCAAGATTTTATTTTGAACGACGACGACGACGCGTACAGTACTTGCAAATCTCCACGACGCGCTGGATACTCCGAGCGTTGAGCTGGAGGTAAGGGAGCTGCGATCTCAGCTTGATGAGCGATCCCTGAGGTGAGCGATCTCAGCCGTTCAGCAAAATGGAGCTATTCCGAGTAGCCGATTACTTTCTTGTGGCTTGCGCTGCTCTTGCCTGCACAGCGTTACAAGATAATCTATTTTGATGTGGCGCTGCATCAATCCGAATCACCCACCTGTCGCTCTCGAAATCCACTCGAACTCTAGCTAGACCTTTCAGGTACTAGCAAACTAACTTGCTAACCAAAATTGGGATGAAATGGGCTGCCAAGTAAGCATTGGTAACATATAAACAAAGCTGAAAGATAAGCGGCAATATCGCTGACGCGGAACAAGTACACAAAGCCATGAAGGGTCATTTGTACCACTACTGCGTTAAAGAGTAGACAGAACTTGTGAATCATAACCCAGAGCTGAACAACATGAAAAAAGTTGTCAGCAAGATTTATAAGCAATGGCGCCGTGTCTCTTTTCTGACTGTAAGAAAAGTAGATCAAAAACACAATGATATTGACTCACCAATGCTTCCCATCTCTCTGCTACGGGCTTCGAAAAGTGTGGCAAGGTTGGTGTTGACCAGGCTAATGATGTAGTCAAACAAATTGCTGTAGATTGCCCTTGCAGCTGCATCTCGGCAGTCCTGCGCCTTGGCCGGTGTGAAGGGCGACGAGATGACTTCTCCTGCTCCCATTAGCATAGTCAAAACAAGTAAATGGGGAGGATTCAATGTCCGAATGGCAGCGGGAGGGTAGGGAGGGGATGTTCTGGGCAAGTAAAATGTATATGAACATATTCAACTCTTCTGCACTGGGTCACAAGAAAGAAGCCAATATGTAGTACTAGTGTGCTTCGTGCCCTGCATAGTACGAACATCCTGTATACTTAGAAAGTCACTCAATGAAATACACGACCTTCTCGTCGAATATGCTCCGGGCGTCAGCCATGAATCAGTCGATTGTCAGAGTAGTCAGCAGGAGGAGTGAGCTCCAAAGTCCCTAAAATGTTACTATCAAAAATCTCACTTCTTGTTTTGTGGCAAAGCTCGCTACTTGGAACATCTACCCGAAGCAACGCTTCTCACCTTTCATGACGTTGGTTGAGGCTACCAATGACTTGCAAAGCAGTACAGGATCTACTGCCAGTGCTCGTGCAGCATCGATTGTTTTAGCCGATGTTGGGTTGCAGTACGCTACCTCGCCGTCACCAAACTCCTATAGAAAGCCATTACACACACATACACACACACACACACACACACACACACACACACACACACACACACACACACACACACACACACACACACACACAGGCATAGTGTATTATGCATACCGTAGTGACACACATTTTTAAAAGCGCATGTGCCAATATCCGGACATAAGCACGCCCTCACAAATAAGCGCATGGGCTTATTATAAGTGAACCTAAATGCAATTCCATCCCGTGACACACGGACACCATACAAACACCATGTTCACAAAGTTTAATGTGCAATGTCATATCGCACTATTCGCATAATTATACAAGGCACCGGTACAGTAGCAACTCAAGCACATGCGCCTATGTGTGAGACAAAAGGACCCGCAAAAAAATAACAAATAACGCAAAACCTCACTCAAAAGCGCATAGGCCTTTATGTGCATCACTATGGTATGGATAATCGACACTTGACTTGTTGGAAACTAATAATGATGAAATTTTCTTTCTCTGCAACTGAGTTGCTTTAACCATGATTCTCACCCCTGTGCTTGTAGGCATGTGTACATGCACATGCTTTCACCTTTTATTCTGCGAACACAACCCTGCTGAAAAACCAGAAGTCAACAATCACAACTGGCGTCTAAAACAACACACCGGGAAACAGCAGGGCCCTAGCAGCAGGAATTCAGGTGGCCCAAATTGGATACTTGACCAGGAATGAACTTTGTTCCCGATAACAACTTCACGAATCAGTGGGGTCAGGTTTTTAAAAATAAGAGAGAGATTCCGGCTATGTCCAGATTGGCTGAACAGGTCAGACCGGGTGCTACGGAACCAAACAGGCACAATGTGCGGGTGTGCTAAGAGCGATGCAACCCTGGACAGATACATTATGTTGGATCAATAACCACTTCTGGATTCCAATCTTTAACCCAACGTTGTAACTATTTGCTGATATTCAAATAGGAAAGCTCCATTCCTGACCAGGGATGAGGTTATGTCCTCATCATCATCATCAGCCTTTTCGCGTTGACATCGCCAAGCAAGCTTGGCTAGTCTTCGCTTAGGCCAAATGGAATAAAGAATGAGGAACGAGCGGGGTCAATGAGGTGCTAATAATATGCATGCAAATGCAGAATAGGCAACGACGAAATATTTATGTCAAAACACTTGAAAACAGGTTATGTTCCAATGGAAAACTGGTTTCCACTCCAGTCCAGGGATGAGATAGCACATTTTATTGCTTACCAGGTTGCCCAGGAGAAGAACAGCACCGACGACACGAAAGATGTAATTCTGCGTGTGCTCACGAATGCCCAGGCTGTTCATGCTTGCAACCACCTCTTGGAATCCTTGCCTGAAGGGAAGAGGAAGTAAGCAGAGTGAGAAAAGCGGAACGGCAGAAACGCCCGTTTTCTGTTGTTCCAGCATCACTCCAACAGAGTAAGTCATGCTTTTGTTTGGATGGCAACACTAACCAATGCATCTTTTGTAGCCTGTTTTCGAATCCCCGCCTAGGCACTTGCCCTCCGGTTTGAGTATCAGCTTTCCATGACCAATACAGCACCCGTAACAGCTAAGAAAATCTCAAACATTTCAGCCATTGGCCATCGTCAGTTTACTAACAGTTGCTTGTTTGTTAAATAATTTGTGTTCGCAGGAACAAACAAGAAGAGGGCTGAACAAGGAAGCAGCTTGAAAGGGAGGAGTTAAAAAAAGATAAAATAGGGACTCGGATGTTGAGCCATAAATAAATGTAGAAAGGAAAAGGACATAAGGGACTCTTAACCCGTATCCTTATGTCCTTTTCCTTTCTATAAAATAGGGAGATGTTGATTCTGCTTTCATGTTTTAAACTGTCTGAACCCACTGTCAGGAAAGGAAGAATGCATAGGGCTGGCTGACATTTAGCCTGCTCACCGCCAGCACACATACCTGCACTGCTCTGACTCCACTCGTTCTCGGCAATCAGGGCTAGACCGAAGATAACAATGCTGGTTTGGTTCCTGCGAGATGGGAGACAAAACAAGAAAATTGATTAGCACCACCGGGTCTGGCCAGTTGAAGTAGTAATGAATGGCTGGGGAATGGAAATGTAATGCTCCACGTTGGTTCCCAGAACTAATCTGGTCAAACATCTGCTGACCGGTTTGCTTCAGGCACCTGATAGAGTACTATACTGGCAAGTGAATCAGTACTTTTAAATGGAATAGTGTTGGACGAGTCATTGCTTCTAGAAAAAAACCGTATCTGGGCTCTGAATTGCACATGGTGTTCTTTTGCCATTGGCGGGCGGGGGAGGGGGGGGGGGGTAGAGGCAATGATGAGCCCCGCAAGCTAGAAGTGTGAGCACAATGTTGGAAAGTTGATCTAGCTGATCCAAATTTGGCTGGGTCACTATCCACGCAACCGGCCTCATTTTTGAGAACGAAGGAAGTGTAGAATAACATGAATCTTTCGTAATTGCCAATAGTATGCCTACATGTTACAGGCTACAGGTACTTGTCGACGGGTCTGTCCAGAAGAGTGCTCCAGTCACCTGCATAAAGCGGCATGACACAGTGGTTGAGGAAATTCAGCTCTACAGGTGCCCTTTGGGAATATATGTGCATTTCTCAAGATGCATAGCCATCCTCTATGTCCATAAATCCTCACACCAGTCTCCAAGTGGTCACGGGGCTACACCAATAGCTCAGTGACCGCTTGGAGAGTGTGGTGAGGATGTATGGATACTTCCTGTACCCATTGTGGAAATGCTCGTGCCACAAACACATCTGTAGTATCAAGAACATCTCACAGGCTGACTCTTGGCCACCGTGGTACTTATGTGATGACCCTGCGTACACAGTAGTGCTCATAATCATTTACATGTACAACAGTTATGCACCCTAATGCTGCGACCATGACTATGCATAATAATTAGAACAGTATGATAGGTACGGTTCTAGAAGATCGAGCCACGTGTTAGATGTGTTCTACTCCTCGTCATCACTATTAATCATGTCCTGCTGGCGCTTCTCAATGTGTTGCCTAGACTCGCTCTGACCACAGAACTATTGTGACTATTCTTGTTGTCTCTCTCTGGCTGGATCGCGTCCAGCTCAGGCAACGCTTTATAACCTAAGTACAGCCATGCTTCGGGGGCTTTTTAGTTATTCCTCTCCTCCGCTCGTATCGTCCGCTGTTGCTGTTGCACTTGCTGTTGCACTTCGTCATCCTTTACCTGTATCCTAACGGTAAGACGCTATTATCATTATTATTATCATGTGCTTGTTCGCGTAGATATCAGCATGGCCTGCAGACTCTATACATTATGTAACTCACTCTCTCTATGCTCTGTTGTGGAGATATGGACGTAGTCCGGGTTGTTTTAGAGTCAGACAAATTGCATATATCTTGCATGAAGAATCAGGGTTACTAGTTTCGTAGAGAATGCATTTCACCTCAGGGTCCTAACCATAGCCAAGTTAGTTGCATGCTAATTCAGGAATTGTCGTAGATGATTGTAGTATTCACGTGACATCTGCCGCTAGGGAATACGGAAGCGGGACCATCACACTTACATGAAGGTGAAATCTGCGAATGACATCATGCGATAGCCCAGCCAGTATGAAGTAGAAGATGTGATAGTTGTGTTCCTGTGACATACATGTATACAGCAATGCAAACACATGGCTCAATAGCGGTAATGTCGAGTCAGTATTCGCCATCATCCACGACACAAATATTATACTGTCGACCCTGCAAAAAACGACATGAGAATGGTGCTGTTACCTGAAATCTGTCACTATTAGCAAGGTCAAAAGTATAGTCAAGCTGTTACTTGGTTTAAAGATGGTGTCGCAATTAATTATTTGCGAGTTGTTGCTCTATCCAAGGTTGTTATTGGCAAGGTTGACTGTTTTCGTTATGCAAGGTTGACACGCTAGCACAGGCTTGACGCAAGTATGCAAGATATTCGAGGATGATCCCGATCCTACCCTGGTGTCTTGTCCAAACAGTGGATACAATCAGCAGCACTCATCGACGGTGGTTTCCTATTGCTAACACTTGTTTACCACTTAGAATAACACCCACAGGAAAACACGCCTGAATCAAAGCACACGCACACATAGCACCGGAGAAAGAGAAAGAGAAAGAGAGAGAGAGAGAGAGAGAGAGAGAGAGAGAGAGAGAGAGAGAGAGAGAGAGAGAGAGAGAGAAAGAGAGAGAAAAATAGATAGATTGATAGAGAGAGAGAGAGAGAGAGAGAGAGAGAGAGAGAGAGAGAGAGAGAGAGAGAGAGAGAGAGAGAGAGAGAGAGAGAGAGAGAGAGAGAGAGAGAGAGATAGAGAGAGAGAGAGAGAGAGAGAGAGAGAGAGAGAGAGAGAGAAAGAGAGGGAGGGAGGGAGGGAGAGAGAGAGAGAGAGAGAGAGAGAGAAACAGAGAGAGAGAGAAACAGAGAGAGAGAGAGAGAGAGAGAGAGAGAGAGATGGGGGGGGGAGAAAGAGGGGTATGGAGAGGGGACATACATACTTCCTCCGTTAACAAAAACTTCGTGATGGAATTTTGAGGGGCTGATTTGGGCACAAACTGCCGTGAAATGAGTCGCAATCACTTTCTTTGCCTTCCCTGGCATGCCATGACAGAGGTACGATGCAAGGAAAGCGACCTTTCACAACAAGCGAACCGGAATCGATGGTTGCGCTGTGGAAACATAGGTGATGACAGTCATGGCGAGCGAAACTGAAATACCACTTCTCCGAGGGGATATTGCGCTGCTTGGCCTCTCTACCACTTTAGTACTGAGTACGTTGAAGAGTGATAGAGAGCGATAAAACGGAGCAGCGAGCCCACACAATGAGCGAGTGAACAAGGAGCTGCTCCGATCGCACGGCTCAAGGAAAATAATTCTTTACTCAGTTCTTGTTCAACCTGCGCAAAGCCCAGATTTGAGTGCTGATGACCATGCATTCTTTCAGAAGTCTGCAGTCCGTGGCTAAGGAAAATCGACTGGACTTGCTAGCCACTGCCGTTCAGTGCTGGTATCCATTAGAGAAAATGGAATCAGTTTGGCTGTGCCTTTACTCCTCGTTTCGCGGAGTTCTGGAGAGCAAAGATGAAACCAGGGAGTCGTAAAATATGTTTCACGACTCCCTGTAGTCCGCAGTCCAAGTGCTCAAAATGTAGCCCTAAAAAAATTCCGTTCGCCACGACGGGGCACCAAGGTTTGATGTGGGGGCCTGAAAGAGGACCCCTTGAGGTACCCAAAACAGTCGAGAACTGCTTCTAGATCTGGGGCGCTCTCACGATAGAGGCGAATTTCTTCGGGGCAAATCCATGCACAAGTTTCGCGGAGCGTAAGTTTGAGCATGCATCAAACCCACTCAAAAGTTCAAATTTGAAATCTCGCACACTTCGAGTGCCACGTGGTGCGCTTCAGATGTAAAAACGTATTCCTGGACGGTACTCTGTAGAATTTAGGTTCTAGGTCGATCGGGTGTGCCTCGCCTATGCCATGGTTTCACGTATTTTGGCAATACCAACTGCAGTGATGAGCTCCTGCCGAGTGCTGGCCGGCCAGGTACATGAATGATGCTATCTCCTCTGTACCGGAACCTGAAACGAATAGAGCTCTGAAGTGTATTCACCCAATGCCAAGTGCCAAATATTCTGACAGCCTGCACGGCATCCGAGGAGTCCGCAGTTCGATGGACAGGACTCATCAATCGCTACGAGCCCCTGTTGTTGAACCAGAAGAAAAAATATGCCTGTTTTGTGGCACGCTGAAACAAATAAGCGAGCTGTACAACCAAGCAGGCGACATCTCAACTCGTGACAGTGGAAGCAGAAAAGAAATAATTGCGGAACGCTGCTGCCACACGACAAGATCAAAGGATTATGGCAGCAATCAGTTCAGTGAATCTGATCGCTAGAGAGGTACACTACCATAAGTCTTGCTATCATTCATGCACTTATGAAGAAACTCTCGCTAGGATTGTAGCAAGCAGACAAAAGACGCACATTGCTGACCTCACTGCCTCATCGAATTCCTCTGAGGATGATTTCTTCTCTGCTGTAGGCAGTGAACTACTTGATGACTGTGTTCAGGGGCGTAGCCAGGATAGTGATCAAGGTGGTTTCCTCGACGTTCCCATACAAAAGAGCATGCCTTCATTGTGGTCCTTTCATGTCGGCCGATATTTATATTATTTTGTTATTACACAGACAGAAGAACGTGAAGTTGTTGTTTCCTAACTCTGAGTTTCATGAACTGAATCAATCCGATCAGACGAATATTGATACTGACCTTGGCCTGAGAGTGCTACTAATACTAAGTCCGCTGCGCTTGCCACATCCATGGTATATATCATTACTCTCACTCTCAGGGCAGGGTCAGTATCAATCTTCGTCTGATGATCGATCTAGTTCGTGAAACTGAGAGTTACGAAACCGCAACTGCTCGTTCTTCAGTCTGTGTATTCCGCTCTTTGCCTTCGGCAAATTGAGCCGTCTACGGACAGTGGATGAACGTCACATGGTATATTTTGTTATCATAACCACAACAGCTCTACGGAGAAACATGTGGAGAACATAACGGCATAAAACAAGACATTCAAAGCGGATGATGTACATTATAAGGCTGACGTGCCTCACTGTGTAGCGTACTAACCATTCCAAAATGGCCAATCATCAGACGAAATAGTCAAGGGCAAGTAAAAACGCGTAGATTGGTTTCAGATTTAAATAAAAAACCACGTAAGTCCGAACAGGGATGGCTACAGTGTGCGATGTGTAGAGTTATGGTCCGCGCGTTATGGTCTTTCTTGAACGAGCTGCAAACCAAGATCGAATTCGGTTTTTTTTGGGGGGGGGGGGTGCTTTGGCACCCCAAACACCCCTTCGTATGCCCCTGGTGTTGTTGTGGTCGCTGCGGAAGTACAGTTAAAAATAGTTCATTCCCTTTGTTTGACCATACCTGGTCTTTGGGTCGCAATATACACAGCGGTTAATTAATTAACTATCAGCATTGTCTAATATTTTGCGGAACTATTTCCCTAGTTTGAAACAAATTTGATGCCGCATTTCTTTATGTTTAGGTGCTGACACACACACTGCATTTTCAGCCACTGCATTGCTGTAAACCATTACGTTGACTTGCACTTGAAGTAAATGCACTCTTTCTAAGGCCGACTCCAGTGTGCTTGGCACGGGTTTTCTCATATCAGCCTCTATACACTGTGGTGGAGGTGACTCAACAGTCTCTATACATGTAATTAACTAACTCGTCTCATCAGGTTTCCTTTGTGTATTTTGTTGTCACATGTAATTCTAGAACATAATATAATTGTTAGTATTATTGCTTTGAACTCATCCGTTATGCGATAGTGTGGTTGTAGGTACACACTGCAAGGTAGTACATGACATGACAACTGTGTCGCATGTTGTGTCATACTGTGCAGTACTATTTCTCCTCTCTACATGCCTATACTTCATCCAAATTCAGTAAAAATTCGTATGCTGGCTCTCCTCAGCCTCTGTGGCTCGAATACAGTTCACAAACATCGCTATGATGCTTGCAATAGCCTCAAAATTCAAATTCATGATCCAGTTGCCATGGCAACGCGTAGAAAAACAATTGTCGCGATTTGGTCAACAAAGCCCCAACACAGCTAATCAAGAGACACATGCCTGGAAAGCCCTGCTCTTGCTCTTTCATTTGGTCATGTCAAACCTTGGTGCCCTTTCGTGGCGAACGAAAAGTCACAATTCTGCACCCTGGACTGCGGACTACTGGTGGAAACGAGTAATCGCCATCGCGGCGGACCACGCAGCTTGAAAGCAAACTTACTTGAACGACGGCGACATCAATCGGAGTGTGATCAAAGAAGCCGAGGCAAGGCTGAAACGAGCTGAACAACGAATTCGAGAGAGATGACTACTCGCGTACAGCAGATGACGACTCGCGTTCAGCAGATGACGACAGCGACGCAGGTCAAAATGAATCGAGCGAAAGCGACGCAAACTGAACTCTCTGTTCAGTCCGCCAACAGTTTCTCTTGTCAAGAGGCTGTACATTGGCTGAATCACCTTCGTCCAGTGATTTGCAGTTCATAAAAACTGTTCTTGACCCGTTCTAAGCGCTTTCATATCCATCAAAATCCATCACGAAGTTTTTGTTAACGGAGGAAGTATATGTGGGTCCCTATAACAGGTCGGCCCCTATAACGGGTCGGCTCCCTATAGCAGGGCGGGTTTGACCAAAAAAGGAAGTCATGCAAGTGCACACATGACGTCTTGACTGGGTCCTCTGAGTGCAAGGGGTCCATGACCTTGTATAACGGAAATGGAAGAACCGGGAAATCCTCATTGACCCCATGACCCCGGGACTCAATTTCGCACTCACAGTGAGTCACACGAAGATAGGCAACGGAAGGAACTATTGATCTTGTGAAAGAGATGAGGGATGGGTCATACCAAGACTACTTTTACTATTATACTGAAGCAAAGATGGATATGGAAGAATAGGGCGAGAGCATGAAGGAGGCGGAGGGCAGTGGAATTGCAGTAGGGAAAACGTGCAGGGTGAATTCAAAGACAAAAGATCGAAATACAGAAACGTTTTGGGCAGGCCTAGATGAGTGTATACTAGTTGTGTATACTAGTAGAAGATGGAAACTATGGAAGTCTAAATGAACAACGTGTCAAGAAAATTATTGAGAGATTCTTGTACGAGGATGGCGCACTCTATTACAAGTCAAACGAGCTAAACGTTGCGCACAGGAAATGCAACTCAAGGGAGGAATTGATCAGCAAGATTGCAGAAGAACATAGTATTGATCATCGGGGACCCGAGACGATATACGAATCCTTACGGTGTTCGTATTATCCTATCATCCGAGAGACAGTCCTGCAACTGGTGCGCCAAACACTCGAATGTGAGCACTGTGCCCGACAGAATCCTCTGCCTAAGACAGCGTTGGTACGAAGAACAATAAAGGCCACTTACTCGAACAGTCGCTGGCAAATGGACTTGAAAAAGCTCCCAGCGAGTCGAGGCTTCCAATACGTCTGTAATATTGTGGACTGTCACAGCCGATTCGCGATGGGTGGTGCCATCAGAGCCAAAACTGCGAAGGAAGTGTGCCGCGTGATCCTTTCTACGATGTACTTGTACGGACCTCCAAGAATTCTCCAAACGGCCAACGGGAAAGAATTCAACAATGGTGATTTGTCGGCACTCATGGACGAGATGCGGGCACAAAAGATCAACGGCCGACCGTATCACCCACAAAGTCAAGGCCGGGTAGAGCGCTTCAACCAGACACTGGCGCAATTCCTAAGACGTGACCTGCTGGAAGATAAAAATTGGCCTGATCGTCTGCCGCTGTTTTACTACAGCTACAACAACCGCGTCCACAGAAGCCTACACGGGAAAACTCCGTACGAGGTGTATTTCCAGAGGCCAAACTTACGTAGATTCTGCACTGGACGTGTAGCGCAACGGCATTAATTTTATTGTTTAGATTACGGGAATATTCTGATACCGGTATGCATTGCGTAGCCATAACCTTTAGTTGATCCCCTGATCTTCAGTTCTCCGTTAGTTGACCTTCTACATCTGCTTTTTGCTTATTCGAAGCACAGTTCTCCGTTAGTTGACCTTCTACATCTGCTTTTTTGCTTATTTTCAGCACAGAGTGTGCATGACGCTGTGTACTCTGAGCCCAGCTAAATATTTGTGTCTATAAGGCATACGATATGCACCTCTCGCACTGTGCACTCTGAGCTGTCCATATATGCGACTCAAACCGACCCGCTATAGGGAGAACACCCAAACCGACCCATTATAGGAACAGGCCTGCTGCTGGGTCCATCATATATTATAGGGAGAGCAAGAGAGAAGTGACTCAGCAGTAACCCCAGTACGCCACTTACACTGAAGCACTGTGTTGTGACGCGTGACTTCTCCAACAGGTAGTGATCAACGGTTGCACCGCACAGACAGTCGCCATTGTCACGGTCTGTCCACAGCTGCACATACTTGCCAAACCTACTGCTATTGTCATTGAATGATGTCTTAGCATTGCCAAATGCTTCCATCAGGGGATTCATCTGCACAGAACACAGTGCCACAACAAAACGTAATAACACTCAATATGCAGTACTTCACTGCTCAAGCATAACATATCTTGGACAAGTAGCATTGGTAACAGATTGACAACAGAGCGAGTAGAGTTCATTGAATTACAGTGAAATACTTCAGTACAAAGTACCCTGGATATCACATTCTATGGGTTAATTTTAAATGTACTTTTTTTGTTCCGTGTGAGTCTCCCTGATGAAACCCCAATTGTAGAAATTTGGAGATTTTAAGATCTTTCCCCTTTTCCATTCCCTCGGCTAATGAATATGGTTAATAGGCTCCAGTGAAGCCTCTGTACCATGTGAAGATAGTGTTTTGTAAGACCATGCACTCTACTAATACAAGTCATGTGGCCACAGATATAGTGTACTGTAAACTGCCTAATCTAATATCCGCGACAGATTAATGATTAATGTTCGCTAGTTTCGCGAGAAGATCGTAACGTGAACATTAACCAGCGTGAAGTCAAGCTTCAACAGTGGGTGTATGTAGGTGGCCCCGGTGCTTCGCGAACTTTTGCCATCGCAAACTTGCTGGTTCCAAGAAATCGTGAAGATTTAGTGACGCGAATATTGGGCGGTTTACAGTACTTGTACTCGGTTATAGAATACAGGTTTTACGGCACTAAGAGGGACCAGATGCTAAAGTTTCACTGTACTTCAGCAACGGCAACGTTTTCCTGTCATTCTTACCCTTGAACACAACCCCACAATGAAGGAAGAGAAGCAGAATGGTATGGAGAGCACCGAGTAATGGTTGAGGACAAACAAGATGGCTGTGCCATTGGGGCAGACCACCGCCTTGCAATGTGTATTGGTAAAAAAAAGAGGTGATCAAAGAAGAAGCAGAAGCTTTTAAATGCATACTTACCCAACAATATTTCATATCCTGATATGTCACACATGCAAATATCGAACATGCCGTGGGTGTCAGAAACTGGCGTTACGTGATCAGCCCATGCTGCTTTGCACAAAAACATACACTATAGGAGCTCAGCCAGGATTTCTTTTGCGACAATTGTATATTTAGGGAACAGTGTCATCTGCGTCAGTATTGCTGCTTATCACTCCCTTAGTATTGACTCACATAGATTTTTGCCATACCTAAGCAGCCAAATATGCCTGCATATTTCACTCCTTAGGGCTATATTGACTGCTTATATTTGACTGCTTGGGGGTTGCGCAGTTGAACGGTGCCTAGTGCAGCATTGTCATTGCATGAGTAGGTGGTGGTGCAACGGTTGTGCAATCATAAAACCGGGATTCATGAGGTTATCGTTTTGGAATTTGAAATACGGCCTGTTTGTCGTGATAAATCTAATAATTGACTTCATACTTGGTCAGTACAGGAAATAAAAACCTCGTAAAAGACCTCGGCTTTTATTTCCTATATTGACCTTGTACTCAGTCAATATTAGATTCATCATCGACTCATTATATGGAAGAATATTCTACATAATGTGACCACCTATTGTTCTGTTGTCACCAGCTCAACATCTCAGGCTACCGACAAGCCTTACCTGGATAAGCTTGTCTGAAATCTCCTGGACATGGTGAATTGGACCCGGCCCGCATCTTAAAGAGTTGATGAACGTCAGCTGAACCAGAGGCGAGAATAGGCATGGCGTGGGTGATCAGGAAAAATAATCGTTCCACGTACACCAATAGCATCAATTTCAAACAGATTACATCTTTTAAATACCATCACACCGGATCCATACCAAACATGAGCTTGGGAGTAACAACTGCATGTGTAGTGAAACCTCGCTAGGAAGAACACTGATGGGACAAAATGTTTGCCTAAGAAGAACTAGTATTCGTAGCTGCATTGGATAAAACCCTGTGTATTCACTGGGTAAGACATATGGAAAAGAAGACCTCCCGTTATTGCGAGCGAATATCATCGGTCCCTTGATGTTCGTCCTAAAGAGGTTTGATTGTACATAGACTACCGTCGAATCCCGCGTATACACCCATACCCGTGCATAAGACCAGGCTAAGTTCGAATATCGCGAAGCTTTGTTGTGCAAGCCCATGGGCCTAGGTGGTACCATATCGTAGTACATGTAGTTTTGTTTTTGTTTTTGGACATTTCAACACAATCATCGGTTGTTTTTGTTTGCACAATGGTTTTCCGACAGCAATATAATTCTCACTTCCTTGGCACTTTTCAATAGCACAATTTTGGTGTCGCGTATAAGCCCATTCTCATGTTCTTGTATAAGCCCATCGAAATGTCATTGTGAAACAGATATGCCCATGGGCTTATCGACGGGATTCTACGATGTTCCTTAGCATCAGCTGATTGTTCATTTTGGCAATATTATATTATGGGAGAGTTCTTGAAGGCCCCATAATTGTTGCAAAGGCCATCAAACTGACACATTCCCCTTTGGGGTTCCTTCCCATCACTGTTCCAACTTTGAATACCCCACACTACCCCCAGACTACAGTCATTGCATGCAGCAGCGTCACCACATCAAGCTTGCCACCCTGTTGCTTGCTGTGTAAACACAGTGATTACAAATACAACCGAAAAGAATGCATGTAACTGCACGTCTGCAGCCATGCGCCAGACTACATGGGTCATGAATGGCATGATGGACGTTGGTCACGGCAATTGCACATCAATGCGCACACTGTGACACAACACAGGGCCAAAATACCTGCTGTACGATGTGCTTGCAGGCTTCTGTCTTTCCCGCTCCGCTTTCCCCGCTGATGATGCACGCCTGTGATTCGCCGTGGTGCACTAGGTTCGAGTAGAGTTGGCCAGCCACTTTGAAGATATGCGGCTGGTTTCTGTCAGCGATTTGGTCTTCCTCGGCTTCCTGCGAAGGCAACTTGGTAGCAACGGCAGAACCACAATATGCGTGAGCCGCGTCCTGGCCGTACAAGGCGAGCGTTTGGAACGGGTTCAGCGCCACAAGAATCTCTCCGAGCCCCGTGTAGATTTTGTGGTCGTAGAAGCGAGTGAGCAACGCCTGCAGGAGTGATTCTTCGGTAAGGTTCGAACACTCCGCCAGGTTATCCATGTTTGACTTCGTTCCGTCTACCCTCACCCAACATTACATTGCTGAGCTGAAACTACATCGGCAGTCGAAGGGACAACATATTTCGTCAGTCAACCTTGGACTTGCTCCGTACCAGCATAGATCTATAGTCTAAAGTGGTGCCTTTTGCAAGCACATTGTTCTCTTGATGCTTCGCGCGTCTGAGCATCATCGAAGGTGATGGATGATACACGCACCAACGGGTCGGATAGGCCATACGTAGAGAATTACCGCGAGCAAGGAGCAAAGGTTCGGTGCCTGAGAATCCCCTTGTCCATGGGCAACGGTCAACGGAAGTTGTTCGCATTGAAGTTTCTTCGACAAACGCTCACCAGGCACAGACAGAGCCAGTGCTAGGTCGTTCTGGGCGGTTGTTCACATCCCGATCTGGTTACAATCAAGTTGTTAGTTCGATACAGCAGCACAGCCGTGAGCACAAACCCTACGCCATCGAGAGCTAGCGCTACTGCCTTCACTTCAGACCTTGTTCATTTTTGTTATTGTTGGATAAAATTGATAACTGTAGATCAACATGTCTCCCCCACAATGACTATGCATGAACGTTACGTTGGTGTAGATCTACATCATGACTCATGTAGTCAGTTTGTAATCTTGTTGGGCATGCACGGGGTGAACCACAACCATTCAACTGAGTGCATGGTTGAGGTTTAGGGTGGATTTTACAGACTTTACAAAATACAGCAGTTCAAAATTTAGCCCTCCATGATCATGATGATCCGTGGACTGACACTGCATACCAAGCAGAAGCATTCATCAGTTTTTCCTCAGTTTTCGGATTACGTAAAAAAATAAAGCGCGTGCAGTACGAAGGTCCGAAGAAGAAAACCTACAGACTGCCGGAAGCGACTTGACCCCTTCGTTCGGTTGTCGTCAGCGCTCCATGAAAGACTTTGTGACCGTATACTCTGTAGTGGCAGCACTACTTTGGCGGATTTACACTGACGTTAAAAACTGGCGCCGGAAATAGTTGTCATCATGGTCATTACTAGTATCATAGCAAGCTGGTCACATGAAGTTTACCCTGGGGGAGCTTCACAGCCACGGTTGGTATGTTTTTGTTTGTATTTCTGGTGCATTGTTGTGCGCTTTGAGTGCGACCTGGTACAGAGATCCCTCCATTTTGCCAACTGCTTGCTTGTTGCTCCCTTGGCGTGTCGGTTGGTGCACACCATACCAGGGAGTCCCAAAAGCCCGGGTTTTCACGGCTCCCTGGGGCACGCGAAGTGACTGACGGCACGCACGATGCCTGCAATGCGCTGATCGAGAAGAAAATGTCAATACGGTGTGGTCGCGACTCGCGGGACGCCGAAGTTTGAAACATGATTGTGAATTTGTGATAGTATGCCCAGGATAGAAAATGATGCACCAAACACTGGACCGGAGCCTTAAAAGTATCATGATAGTCGTGACAGCCCATGACACCCTGGCACGCAAAACCCCAAGCAATGAAGTTAGTTTCATCCAACGCGAGTTTTGGAAAATTGGGCCAGAGTTTCCGCTTTGTATTTTGTTTTAGTTTTAGGTTTACAGGATTCATCTTTCGGAATTCGGAATCAAGTTGAGCTGGAAAAATGTCGAGAATTGCTGCTCTTGTCGTGTCAGGAGTCTTCTTCGATCCAAAGCGTTCTCCAGAGTCCAGATCCACAGCTACATCTATTCCCGAAGCTATGCAAAAGACGTTCTTACAGTACTCGAAGTATAAGTCACCCAAACCTCCAAAGCAAAATGTGCCTTTGAAGTTTGGATACCCAATACATGTAGCTGCGAATGATCTTTGGTCGTTTGGCAAGGTTTCCTGCTGGAGATGATAGTTGTCGAACTCGAGCATCTCGAGCTAACGTGCAACTTAACCTCTGGATTGAAAAGTTTCACACTTAATAATAATAATAGTACAGGTCGCATGTCTCCCAAATACACGCATCTGTCAACTGTTTCATCATGAAATAGATTGCAGCAGGAAGAATAGCATACGAAAAAACCATATACAGGTTCTAGCACATGACAAGTACATGCCATTTTTTTACATCGATAATATTATACATTTGTCAATGAAGTCCAGCCATAGCTTTTTGTCCCGTGCAGTGTTGAGGCAATCCTCGAGCGTGTGTCCGAGAGGGGAGATGTCGGATTTCACCACATCAATCCACCGAAGCCTCGGTCGTCCTCGTGGACGCTTGATCTTTGACGTGTCGATGGCCATGGTTTCACACTTCCACAAAGTTAATTCCCACGTCTTGTCTACTAAGTACATGACTATTGTACTAGCATCTACTATGTAGTCTTTGACGTGTAGTTGACATTCACGGTTTCACGCTGTTCCTTAATTAAACAACTGTAGGTTCACGCTTCCACAATTAATTCTCACGTCTTGTCTACTAGTCTTTGACGTGTAGTTGACATTCACGGTTTCACGCTGTAGGTTCACGTCAGTTTGAATGCGCCGTGACAGGGACAATCGCTATCATACCGGGCACTCGGGCAGCTATCCTAGTGTTGTTGTTGTTCTCACTCCGGCTCAGCTTACTTTTGTATACTTGTGGACGAGAAATAGCTAGATTAGTGTCCAGTGAAGAAGCGTTAAACGAGATCAGGTCGTCAAGTAGCAGTTGTAGTACAATCATATTGCCTGGCATCCCAAGCACCGATTGCCACGGTATTTTAATAATGGTGTCATTTGCATACAAGTACCTTCTTTGCCCTGTGGATGGACGTGTTTGGGTTCGGGTTGATTCACTGCTCTCCAAGATCGAATTGTCAAGAAAGGATCACTCTATGCATAGATCCATGTACTTCGCCGAGAAAGGGCGATGATGAGCAATTACTGCTCCGATTGCCGCTCGTTCAAAGCCTACCGTTGGCAGGTTCCTGAGCCGATTTGCGTGCGAGTTTTGCTAGGATTCTCGACCGCCTTTGGCCTACACCGACGATCGTAAGTACTTCCACCAGCCATAACTATCAGTCAGTGATATTAGACCGGTGACTGCCGGTGTGTTTTGTCCAGATCTCTTGTACTCAGTCACAGTGATATTTCAACCAACCTGGCTCTAGCACGGAGGGGTGCGAAGTGCCGAAGTCTCACTGCCTAATCCTGAGAAAGCAGCTACGAAACCATGGCAACCCTCCATGTACTGAGTATGCTGGTACCATGGTAAGATCAACAGGAATCACTAAACCCCTATAGCTATGGAGTCTCGATGCAAGAAATATCGAGAAAATCCCTAAAATCAGCACTCGAACCAGGGACCTTGGCTATAACAGTACAGTCATGTATATAAGGTAACGATGAGGTAACCACTGAGAGACAATTGTTACGCTGGACTTTCCACATTCATGGTATATAGCATTACCGTCGGGGTAGGGACAATATCAATTTTCGCCGGACGATCCTTTCAATTCGTGAAACTCAGAGTTACTTCCTTCGGTGTATTGCCACTGAGCTACAGTGAGCTATAGTGGACAATGTAGCTGTCACCTAGCAGCGGATGTTCAATATTTTTTCTTCAGACTTCGACACTCACGCTTTCAGTGAACCTACACATACACAACACAGGCTAGTGTGGCGTACCCCTCGATGTAACCAAACACCTGAGGTACTGCAAACTAGTGCCGGGGGAGTCTCAGTGCATCAAATATTCACAGCTCTGACCTTCGTGATGCTCTAGCCACTGAGCGTCGGTGTAGCTGTCATCCCAAACATAATAATTATTATGTTTGGGATGACAGCTACACCGACGTATTATTATAATGCACTTTAAAGTATTTTAAATTAGATTACTTGCAATTGCACTGACCATGCGTGATTTGATCGCAGTAATAATCAGATCGCGTGGAAGGCAGACAAAATGCAATGGTCATGTCAAATCACAGGCGCGCGCGCACACCATGTACCACACACACACACACACACACACACACACATAGTGTTTAAACCGAACACGGATTCTTCGAACGAATAATCTATCGAATAATTTCGCCCTCCATCGAACGAATAATCTATATTCTATCATACGCATGATGGCATTTTCAACACTTTTTTAGCACTTTTTAAGCAGTTAAAAAAAAAGTTTGCTGATTGTCGGATTTTGTTATGTGGAGGTGCAAAACCGGTTAACCTGTACCGCCAAGAGTACATAACCCCCCAGAGTGTGCAACGCCTGACCCAGCTCTGCATATAGGGTCTTGGTCGAGCGTAATTGGATCTTCACCGCATCCATGTTTCCCTCGTATGGAAAGAACAGAAGTATTAGTATTACTAGATACCGATAGGAGATTAAAACTTGGAGGAGAAGAGATTGAGAAGAAATACTACAAGCAGATCTACGCAGTGCAAATATCAGTAGAGTCAGCACCGAGCTAGCATAGGTCGTTTTTTTTTTGTTTTTTTTTCGATTTCTGATAATTCCTACGACTATTCGATTATTCGTTCACCCCACGAATATTCTAAATTATTCGATTATTCGATTATTCGTTTCAACACTACGTGACACACACACACACACACACACACACACACACATACACACACACACACACACACACCTCAGACCTCAGACCTCAGACATGCCCATCGCGGAAGCGATGATAGCGAACAGCTATGTTAGACATAGCAACACACACACACCCACACACACACACACACACACACACACACACACACACACACACACACACACACACACACACACACACACACACACACACACACACACACACACACACACACACACACACACATATATATAACACTAGTCTTGTGCTTGAGGTGCGAGAGACCTGTTTGGGTGTTCGTGGATGAACAGACCTATGTGTAGGAATGAAATGCTGTGTTGGAGTGCTGTTGCTGTTGCTGCTGTCTTTCCTTCTGACATAAGAAAATGTGTGCCCCTGTGCATATGCGACCAATTTCTGTCAGTTCCTCAGCACTTCTGGAGCCTGGGCTATTTTGCTTTGTGATTTTTTCTGTCTTCCTGCCATTTATTTCCTTTCCTCCTTTGCTTCTTTCTTTCATTATTCGCCTTTATGTTATTGGGCCCAATTCCCGTTTAAATGTGCGAAGTAAAATATACACAAACAAACAAACATACTAACATGTATTATGACTGTACACACACTTGGAAGAAAGGATCAAAGTGTTTCTGCTGTAACTCATAGTCTCACGGTTTTACCGTTCATCAGACGGCAATCTGTTTATGTAAACACATGCACATGCACCCACACATACTCTTTTTTCTTTCTCTCTTCACACTTGACTGTAAAGCACTAAAAATGAATGTCACTATGTCGTCGCCTGAAAATGCCCCTGTCACTACAACAATATGTGGGCGCGTAGTTTCGCAACTGGCGGGTATTCGCGCGCCTCTGACACAGGTGAAGAAACGACCTGTTTCCTGCTGCGACAGACAAGGCATCCAAGGAACGCTCCAACACGAAAATGTACAGGTCATTGAACCAAGGTAGACACTGCCAGGCCGCACTGGACATATTCAGTGTGAAATATCAATGGGATCTTTAGACAGGGAAGACTTGTTCGAGTCCTTTCTGCGAGCTGAGTTGCAGAGCATAATAATTAACTTAATGGTGATGTGACGCAGGCCGCAGTGCGTGAAGGCTTCCTTCATGTTTGCACGATTGGACGTAGACTTGACATACACACACTACCTGTCATTGCCCAGGGGCAGGGTGACCCACAACAGAAAGCATACTCATAACTTCACAACAATGTACTTCGAAGTACATAATACACTACTAATACCGTACTATAATTATAGCGGCGAATTGTAGTATAATTATTATACTATAATAGTATTGTAACTAAGATTCGACTAAGGCCTCGGAGACTCTGAGTTATGAGAGAACGCACGTCAACAGTATGCGGCATTACTGCCACAACAGACACTGTTCCTGGGGCACTGATCCAAAATTCCAAAGCTGTCGACGCCTCTCGAAGACAGTTGGAAGTACATGACTGTTCTAGTACATGTACATATAAACACAATTCAGTATAATAGGCTGTAACAGTTGTACCAGCAACGTCGGCTAGGAATCGTATCTACAAATGGGCCGCTGAAGGTTGCAGCGATGTGAGCTTTGTATCAGCACCATTTGAAGGTACTGGGTGGTAGTTGGAAGCTGCCACTACGGAATGAATTTCATCATGCAAACATGGAGTGCAAGCTCTAAGGGACATATCAAGTTAGTTAGATGTGATGAAACATGTTGCGCCTTTCCCAGTGCTTTCCGATGTGAGGGTGGAAGGATGAACCGAGCGCCTCTGAGACGAGTAGTAAAGGGCGTATCACACAAGTCATTACACGATGCTCACTCGAATCGAGACCCAGCAGTACACGATCCGTGCGTGTGTGTGTGTGTGTGTGTGTGTGCGCCAATGATCAGTATTCTTGTAGACGCTCTCGCAGCGAGCTGCTCATGAGAACACTGTGCATATTCGGGTAGAAAAGCCGCATACATGAGCCCAATGTGTTCCCCTCGAATCTGCGCGGCTACGTTGGTGCGGGAGAATTGGTGACCGATGGGTGAAAAAAAGGGTTGAATCAATGATTGCTACTCATCCAATCGTGTTCTACACAAATAGCAACTAGAAAATGAAGTCTCGTTTCACATTGGCTTCGTGGTTCCCTTCCAAAGCCCGCATCGCGGAATGCAAGTGTAACTACAACTTAGCATCAGAAGGTCTCTTGATGAGAAGATCGGGATGGTTCCAAGTTCAAATGCTTAGTATCTCATTAAATCACCATTAGTAGCCTTGTATCGTCTCGATGTGCGTCACAAAGAGTACAACTCTCCTTGGTGTCAAAACGAAGATCACGAGCCTGGCAGGTATTGCTGTAGAATATGGCAGCCAGTGATCTAAGACTGCTAGAGGCTGAGGGGTAAGGCGTTATCCAAAGCGTCACCTTGATGGGTGACTGCCGCCGTGCTCCCTAGATAAGGATGGTGCACTTCCATCTAGCGGTTGCTACGCTGTACCAGCGCCATCGGCACCTCGGCGCGTTGCTTCCAGCTCGTGCAAGTGCTATGCTGTTATGCGCTGTGTGTGCATCGGTGCAAGCGGCGAACGCCGCCGAGGCCCAGGAGGGCACTGCGCCGGATGCTCTGCCACTACAACTGTTCATCATCGAGATGCCGAAAGTCATGTGTCCACCACAACTGCTAAGTACTAGCGGCAGATGACAGTCCAAGATATTGGGGCGACGTCAATTTGATACGCAAAAACTGTCGTCTACTTCGACATCATGCACTTCAGAAAATTAATAATATCCCTTCCACATCATGTACACGCATCAATGCACATACCCGCACCAAAATCACATACGCACACATAAATACACACGCACGCACGCACACCCACGCACGCACACCACACACACACACACACACACACACACACACACACACACACACACACGCACGCACATCCACAGGAGTAACGTTAGATGACATACTAGTGGCAGAGAGCAATACAACGGCGTCCTCACTAAACCGGTGAACCCGGCGGTCAGATTTGGAATGTCGTCGAGGAAGGAGAAACCGAACCTTGGCCTCAGCCTGTTGCCAGCTAGTGGCAGGAAACACACGTCATGCCAGTAGCCTGGTGCTCGGCAGCCCTGGATGGACGGGTCATTCCTTGCAGGTCACACTGTGACTATCAGCGTCAAGCTAACTAGCTTAGTCCCCACTGCGCATTACCTTAGTGTGCAGGTGCTGTACCGAATGCACAGTAGCGAAATATCTCCACTGTCCAACTCACTTCTTCAAGGGTTCAGCAAAATACCAAAGCCAGCATAAGAAAGCAGAAACGAAGCAAAACGTTCTAGTATCAACACCAGCCGTATACCTAGCTACGTTTGAAGTAGAGAGAAGGAGACGCTAGTACTGGTGCACTTGTAGGTGGAGGAACTGGTAGTATTGTACAATTGCGCAGACTGGTTACTGACCCGGAGCAGTAGCTGTTGGAAAGTAGGTTGTGAGAGATGGCGCTACTCGCATGTTTGGTAGTAGTGTCCGTTGCTGTATCTTTGGTTGATGGACAACCTTTGGTAGCAGCCAAGCCATGGATTGATATTCTACCGCCAGGTCCAGGAGGCAAGGTGGCTGCAGAGACCTTCGCCCGCCCATACCTAAAACCGCGACCCAATAGCCCCCCAACACCACAGCCTTCTCCAGGATTTCCTCAACCATGGGTCAGTCGTCCTACTCCTATTGCGCCGGATACACCCCCCGCACCGATGCAGACTCAGAAGCCCAAAATGGGAGAGTGCGCTGGACAAGCTTTCACGACTGCGGAATGGGTATGTTAGCTGATCAACACAGTACATGACTTCGCGTATAGCACTACAGAACTAAGCAACTACTACTACTTTACTAGTACAGTGAAACCTGTCTAAGACGACCGCTCAAGGGACCTTCAAAACGTGGTCTCTGTTACCAGGTGGTCTCCTTATCCAGGGTCATTTGACTGGAAATAGCATCCCTCGATCCTGGTTTCAGTGGTCTTCTTGGACAGGTGGTCGCCTTATCCGAGTGGTCGCCTTGACAGGCTTTACTGTATTACTGTAGTTACACAGGTGTTGTCAGGGCTGTACAGTGGCGCAGACGTAAGCGGCATACATACATTTACATGTACAATGTACAGTGTTTCACCGTTCAAGCAACGGATCATCAGACATGTACAATGTAGATATTTCTACCTTGATCTGTCAATGGTTTTACCTCTTACTCCGAAGTTACAGTATCATAATTATGGGAAACAAACTTGAATTGAAGCGTAAGACCGTAGTTGCTGGCAATGGGTTTCATTGTTGGCTAACTAAGACGTAGTTAGTAACAGCTACGTTGTATAATATTGACTGAGTTCGAGGTGAATGTTGGAAATAAAGGCTGACTAAAGGACCTATGTGAAGCCAAGGTTTTTTGAGGTGCGAGGTTGTATTATTTTATTTCCTATATTGACCTAGTACCAAGTCAATGATAGATTTATCACGATAAACCAAAGCATTTGGTCAGTCACTAAAAAGGAGCCAAATAGAAGCTGTCACTTTAGCCCTAAGGTGTGAATATGCAGGAACATTTGACTGCTTAGGTATAGCGATAATCAATGGGAGTCAATACTAAGATAGTAAGCAAAGTAAAATTTAATTATCGTGTCCGTTCCCGAAGGGAACTCACGACGGCCGCTAACACCCGGTAAACCCTAGCGGCAGATGCTGCGCCTAACGGTGGGGTGAGTGGATAAGTCTCACAACCACTGGCACAAGTGCCAAGAAAGACCCCATTAGCCGCATCTATGTACCCCTTGTGCCTGGCCACAAGCTCCCAGTTGACTGTGGGTAGCAGCACGACTGGAAAAACCGCTCCCAGGCAGGACTTGAACCAGGTTCCTCTCGTATCTCGCTGAGTCATGGTCTTTGACCAACCCACTGTGCCTGCCTGGGGTGTGGGGGGGGGGGGGGTACTAAGAGAGTGATAAAAGTAATGCTAATCTCCACAGATGGTACATGACATTGTAATTATGGCAATCAAGAGTATTAACTGTGGGGAAACCATGCTTTATTGGTGACACATAACTGCCATACTAACAAACACCGGAGAGAGAGAGAGAGAGAGAGAGAGAGAGAGAGAGAGAGAGAGAGAGAGAGAGAGAGAGAGAGAGAGAGAGAGAGAGAGAGAGAGAGAGAGAGAGAGAGAGAGAGAGAGAGAGAGAGAGAGAGAGAGAGAGAGAGAGAGAGAGAGAGAGAGAGAGAGAGAGAGAGAGAGAGAGAGAGAGAGAGAGAGAGAGAGAGAGAGAGAGAGAGAGAGAGAGAGAGAGAGAGAGGTTTTGTCTCCGAACCGATTATCCACGGACTCTAATACGAATATCTCATCATACAAGTAGTAGAAATGGCGCCATCACCTACATGTACACACAAACCTGTCCTGTCGAGCCACTGCCACAACTTACTTACACAACAAGGGTCACGTAGGCCCCGGAGGGTTGTTGTTGTTGTTGTAGAAGTTTATTTAACGTCGCACCACAAACAGGCGATTTCGCCTCCTTTGATACATGTGGACGACAGAAGGAATGAGAGAGAGGGGGGGGGGGACAGAAGTACGGAGAGAGGAAGGGTAGAAATAAATAAGCAAATCAACCTCAGGGCTACACCAAAGCAGAGGGTCAACGGAGGGAGAAGAGGAGAACGCCGTCCCACGGCATCCGGGACACACACAACGAGAGGTCGCCAGGATTCACGTCACCTACGACTGCTACCACGAGACTGACGTATGACAGGGGGATAACCTGAGCAGCGGTGTCTTTTCCTGCCCTGGACCGAACGGAAGCAGCGACCGCAGGACGCACAGTGCGCGCCACAACACGGCTCCACTACGGCTGAGGACTGAGCCACACACTTGTGACGGGGACACACACACACACACACACAGTCACAAACACACACACACACACACACACACACACACACACACTAACAAATTTGTCGGAAACGGGTGCGACAACACCGACCACACCAGGCAATGTTCGCACCGATCTTGAGGATCTTTCGTGCTACAGCAAAACCTGTCTAAGACGACTGCTCAAGGGACCTTAAAAACGTGGTCTCTGTTACCAGGTGGTCTCCTTATCCAGGGTCATTTGACTGGAAATAGCATCCCTCGATCCTGGTTTCAGTGGTGTTCTTGGACAGGTGGTCGCCCGAGTGGTCGCCTTGACAGGCTTTACTGTATTCGATATCGGCCGAAAAATCGGCCTACAATGTAGTGTGGGCCAAGCATTACTTCTGCATCTATTTTTAAAGCGCTGAAGATACCGGCAAATAAACTAACAGCGTTTGTGCAGACAAAGGTACCATCGAGATCGAGAGTGCAGCCTTAGCCAATCTCCAGATTCGCTACAACTGTTACTTACAAGCACACTCAGGACTCTCAATCCGGGCGTTCCGGCCAACTTATTTTGAAAAAAAGTGGACCCGAGCAAAACGGGTTTTTTTTCTCAATACCATTATTGTGACTTCTTTAGCTACAATGTAGGTTCATTTGCGGTCACGTTTCCCATTTTGCCGGACAACCTGAAATCCCGATACTGTACTACGGCCATGTACTGTAGCCTAGTGTAGTAGGCCTGCGCACTGCAGTACTGCCACCTGTTGCGATTGCAACTAAAAAATTTAAAATGATTTCCATGTTATTACTCTAGTCTAGACGTACATGTCCACGCATATTCTACGAAGGGCGCGTTCGAATTGTCACTCTTTGACTTTTCGAGGAGCTTCGTTTTTCTGAAGAGGTGACCTTATTGGCCTCTTCAGAAAAAGGAAGCTCCTCGAAACTCCTCGAAACTCATCCGATGGGAAGGTGGATTAGCTTCGAAGAGTTTGGAATAGCTGCGTCACGTAGCGCGTGGGAATGGTCGATCTGATCGGACGTCATCATCGCCATGGCAATTCCACTGAAAAACTCTAAAATGATAGAAACCGTTCTAATGGGACACTTCAACTAATCTCTTTATAAAATTTGTTAGAACAGTTGATGAAGACAATTCGAACGCGCCCTAGATCTCCGGAGAGCGGGATGCTGTTTCGACCTTCTAGACTGCTGTAGAATGTAGTACAAGTAACAATACTGAGAAGGAGGAAAAGCTATTTTCATAATTTTCCATTCCATATGTGCATAATGTATTTCAACTGTCACTTTGTGTCACTGTTACCTCTGCGATGAAAGTCCCTTTAATATCGTCGTCCTTTCTTGTGTGTTTCGCCATGTATCCGATGCAGATGTGCTGCGAGGGAAACATTGTGAGGGGCACCATTGAGACAGGCTTTCAATGTTGCGGCCCGGAAGCCTACAATAACCGGACAGAGGTTTGCTGCATGGGCACTATCGAGACAGCGCCGATGGGCTCGAAGTGCTGCGCGGGCACTGTGTATCATCCGTCAAGGGAGATGTGCTGCATGGATATGGTAGCTCCAGGTCCGGAGCGCACCAAGACATGCTGTGGTAAGACATCAAGTAATATTCGTCGACAATGACATGTCCGCATGATATGACCCGACCTGCTTGCAAGCTTTTTTTCTCTCTCTTTTCTTTTGTTTGCAATTTCGTGCAGTAACGTTGTAGTGTTGATTTCGTCTTGGGAGTGAGGCATGGGGACGTTACCATGGAGGGGTGTGAACGCTTGCTATCTTGGATCTGGTTTCTAGGAAGCATTGCTTACTAGAAAGGTGGCCTTCCCATGGTTTTTGTTGCTGCTTGGCTGCATCTATAACATAATTATACTGGCACACCAATGCACACACAGAAGTACCCTATTGCTATTTTGACTGTCTAAATCGCTGGTCAGTCGAGGCACAGCTATTGTATTACATATCACGTCATAGAAACCATTACAATGACTGAAATTCGTGCTGAAATCAGTGCATTGTGGCATGATCTGGCATGCCCCAAATGCATCGTGGTCGATGGGGTACAGGCTGGTTGGCCATTGGAGTAAATAATTATAATTACTTATTCTCTCGACACACGATTTGCAATTTGGTTCAGTATCAGAAACTATGGATGTGAAAGGATCAAAACCTCTGCATTGTTGCTGCAGGCACGGAAAGCTACGCCAACGCCACCCAAGGGTGCTGCGGCGGAACAGCCGTCTTTGAACATGCCATCGCCATGTGCTGTGACGGAGCGATTACGACGGACGGGCCCGCAGCGGTGCGAGAATGCTGCGGCACAAACACGTTTCCGAAGGGCGCTGGTCACATGTGCTGCGCTGGAAATGTGGTCAACGCCAACCCAGCTCAGGAAAAGGTGAGAGTGAGTGTGATTATCCTGTGATCTAGGGTTGAGCGTCAGGGATCACGTTCTAACATTTACACTATGTCATTCAATCTATTGTGAGGTTACAGAAATTACATCTGATCGCCTATGCTATGTATAGAGTGGAAAACTAGAGCTTGTGGTACTCATCACCCCTTAAAAACATCTCCCTAAATTATCACCACCACCACCACCACCACTATCACCACCACCACCATCGCCACTGCCACCGCCACCACTACCACCACTGCCACCACCACCACAACCACCTCCACCACCACCACTACCACATCCACCACCACCACCACCACTACCACCAGCACCACCAGCACCACCACTGCCACCACCACCACCACCACCACCACCTCCACCACCACATCCACCACCACTACCACCACCACCACCACCACTACCACCACCACTACCGCCACCACCACCATCACCACCACCACCACCACCATCACCACCACTACCATCACCACTACCGCCACCACCACCACCACCACCACCACCACCACCACCACCACCACCACCACCACCACCACCACCACCACCACCACCACCACCACCACCACCACCACCACCACCACCACCACCACCACCACCACCACCACCACCACCACCACCACCACCACCACTGCCACCAGCACTGCCACCAGCACTGCCACCACCACCACCACTGCCACCACCACCACCAGCACCACCACCACCACCACCACTACCACATCCACCTGAGCCGGATGCTTTCGGCAGGCTAGATAATGTGATTGACAACAATTTGATACCAGCAATCACTGGTCAGAAGAACATGTCCACCGTTGAGCAGAGTCTCATCGGCTTGCCTGTCAAGTCCGGTGGTCTCTCAATTCCTG